ACAATACTTCTATTGTCGATTTTTGGTCTAACGGAGTTAGATACATTTGTCGTACTTCATCGAGGAGTCCCTCGAGATTTGCCTGCCATTTATTGAGGGTGGGTAACTTTACCAATAAATACGTTGGCGGCAAAGGCCTGTAGGTTACCTCCCCTGCTACCGAGGTAAAGTTTGACCATAGTAATCTCGTCTACCATTGTATTCGTAAAGTTACCAAATATATATCCTGCTGCGAAGTGATGGTGTTTAGGGATATCACAATGACTTCGTAACATCTTACGAACTCGTTGCAGAATTTAAAAGTTTGTCTACAGTCAAGAATAAAAATAGCCAAAATATCATGTGAGATCGATCGTGTCTCCAGTGAATCGCTAATTTTGATATCGATAATGTTAGAACAGAGGGGAATATGACGAAATTATTTCGAAATGTTTTCTCGAGAATTCTACCTTTTCTTTTGTAATTTTTGGGACAGTGTCAGGAGTCGAGGCAGAAATTGTGGCGCAAGTCTACATGCTCAAGAATGCAATGTAAAACTTTCAGGAATGAGGAACTCGTGAATTTCATGAATTCTTAGCCTGAATTGCAAAATGCTGCTGTTAAATCTGATTACAGTCACTTGTAATTATACATCGCACGTGCTAACATATTGAATGATAATAAACGAATCGGCGAAAATGATTAACTGACAATCCAGAGTGACATAAAGTGGGAATTGTCCCAAATTTTCAAACGAAAAAAAGAATCGTGGATATTAGTGAATGTCATAATTTCTGCAACATACACAAATAGACTGCTGAAGGAAGTATAGTAATTATACAGAATACAAAGTAGTGATTGTCTTAGTTAAAAGAATAAATTAGTATAAGTTAAAACGTTAGAACAAGTTAATAACGCAAATGTTTAGTGATATGTCCCATCGGAAGAGTTGCAAAAAGCTTATATATTACTTACGATATGCAAGGTCCTCAGTAATGACAAATATTAAAGAAAAAATGACAAAGAAGAAGCGGAACAAAAGAAATGTGAAATAACAAAGAATTATGACAATACACACTGTAATCAAACAATCGAGGAGACACGAGCTTAGCGAATCTCTTTCATGTTTCCTTCGTATCGTCCACGACAATAAACAACTTTTGGATGAATTTGGTCATTATTTCTGCAATTTTATTGAATTCACCAAGTTAATTTATTCGACAGGCAGAAAGATGAAACGTGCACAATGTAAAGTAGCGAACATTTCATAAAAAAAAAAAAAAAGCAGAAAGCTTCTTGATGTGCCGAAGTCCTAATCATCAGTCAATTTATTCTTGAAGCTAGTAATGGAATACAGATGGAAAACAAGTAATGAAATACCTGAAGCTGTCCCAATGAATTTCGGCTTACTTTTCCATGCCACAAATATAACATAAACAGGAACTGCAGTAAGCATTATTCCGATGCCAACTGCTGAAAAGGATGCACCCTTACAAATTCAAAGGTGCACCAAATCTACGGGAAAACTAAGAATATGAGGAAAATGAAAAAGCTATATCTCTTTCGAATAAAGAAACGAACCTGTATCCTTTGGTGAGCCAACAATAGGAACGACCACTAAAGCAACACACCCAAGGAAAAAAATTATAGGAAAGGCAAGGTTGACCTAGAAAAACATGATCATCATAGAGATCAGTCAGAAAGTTAGCACTAATCTCCAATGAAAACCAAACAAGCAATCTTGGATACCGCACAATTACTAACCTTGATAGGCCTTTCAGCATCTGGCATTTTTTTCCGTAACCAAAACAGCGCTGCAATTACGCAGGCAATAGCCAACCAGTACACTATTTGGATATAATTGATGAGCGAAAAGATATTGTTCGACAAAGTAAGGTAAGCTATGGAAAGCAATCCCTAAAAAATATCACAATTTCATATGCCGTAAAGTAATCCTGAGTCCTTTCACTAGACCGCTAAAAATAATACTAAGCATTGCATTATTAATTAAACTTCGGTAATTGATTACCAATACGTGGTATCGTAGCAGAAAAATATCTGGTAATGTTATTTCTATTTCAGATTCAGCTTCTCAAGAGTATTCATAAAAATTAAGGTTCATAAAACCATCATGAACCGTGAAAATAACTGCAGGTATTGGTGTACGAGTATTTCTATTGATCATTGTTAAAACCAAAGGCATATGTCCTTCTCGTGCTCCAACGTAGAACAGCCTGGAAATCAACTTGATAAACAAGAATCAGAATCTCTACGCCTTCAAAAGCCATATTCAAAATTAATTCCGAAACCTGGATGAAGTAAAAATTACTCCATTTGCTGAACCAATTGTTGAGCATGCAACAAATATAGGCATTACAAAGGCAAATGGTCCAAACGTTTTGCTAGCGAATTCCTAAAAGAAAACAAAAACAAATACATAGCTCCGGTTTAAATTCTTAAACTTATTAAAAATTCACGTAATAAAAGATTGACGTTTTCCAAATAAATAAGCAAACATTCAAGGACAACTTACAACAGCAACTGCTGGACTACTCAGCATTTCATCCGGGGTGATCACCGTATATAAAGCAACATTTGTTAAGGTGTAGATCACCGTACACACCGTACATGATATGGCAATTGAGAGTGGTAAATTGCTAAAATAATTTCTCAGTACTCTATAATATATCATGCTGAACAAAAAAGGTATCTTCCGCGTTGACACTATATACGCGATGAACAAAAAGTAACCAATACATAAGGGACACATAATTCTCTTAATTAATGCATCAACATAGCTACTTATCTAACGATAGCTCAAATACATCGTTTCTACATTACATCATAAAGATAAACCTTCAACGAATGATTACGCTACAGCATTTAATAAAATCAAGTACCGTTTCGGATTCTGCAATTCCTCAACGATGAAATTCAGATAATTCCATCCCTGATATGCGAAAAGACCAGAATAGAATGCTAGCGATGTAGTTCCAATATCAGGCGACGTATTCTCAAATATATTTTCAAACGATTCTCTGTACTGTGGCTTTCCTATAATGCGGTAATTTTCATATAATGGAATGTAATCTAACATTCCTAAGTACAGTTGAAAAACTGAAAACAAACCATACATGTTACTTTTATTATACGTAAAAAAAAAAAAAAAAAAAGAAAAAAAAGAAAAGGAAAGAGAAACAAAGCAAAGAATAATACACAAAAAACAAAAAGAAAAAAACCTGATATTAATAGTACTGCACCAGTGCCAATAATCAAACACAGTGCAAACAACTTTGCAACAGTGAAAAAATCCTGAACGAAAGTTGCTAATCGTATTGATATACAATTTATTGCCGTCAGAATAACTGTAAAATAACAAAAGAATCAATTAAACAACGAAATAATCCTTCATTTAAAAAAGTTTCTAGAACATTACGGATTCATTCACCTACTTTTCCCTCGAGCAACTACGTCAAGTCAAATTTCAAGCAGCTAAAATCATTCCAAGAACTTACTAAGTAAAATTGTTGCAAGCAATGCCAGAAGTTCACCAGGCGGTTCACAATTTGGATAAAATGGTCGCAGCATGTATATCGCAAAAGTCAACGCTACAACTGTGCATGTACAAGGTCTGCAATAAAATGTGATAGAAAAATGGAAAGTTTGAAAACAAAATATAAGCAATTTTCAATAACAGACATAATGTGATCTTGAAATTCACCTTACCACCACAGCTTCAACCCAAAGACGAATGAAAGCTAGGAAGGGACCAAACGATTCCATAATATAAGCATAATCTCCACCTGACTTGTGAATTAGAGTGCCAAGTTCGGCGTAACAGTATGCACCAATTGCGGCGAACAGACCGCAAGCAACCCAAACAATCAGCGATAATCCGACACTTCCCGCCTCTAAAATTAAAAATATCCGTCGATTCATTAGCAAATGTAAATCTAAACAGAGATAAAGTTTCCCATCCTCCTTATCATCAAATAATTTTACTTCTAAAAAAATTAAAGAGTGATTACTACCTACTTTCTTGTACACCTGTCGGTGATACAAATATCCCAGACCCAATGATACATCCAATGATTATGGAAACACCATTGAACAGTGTTAGCGATTTCGCAAGGCCGACATTGTCATCAACAGAACCATTTTTTGAACCCATCTTAATGATGGTAATCAAAGCTGAAAATCAGTTCTATATAATTTAACTAATCAGCAACAGAAAACAAAGTGCTCATAAACAAATAAACCATTGAGTAAATATGTAAACGCATGTCAGTAAATGAATAAATAAATAAATACGTATTTATAACGCAAATGTATGCTCCAAATTTCTTTACGGACACCTTTTGTCACGGAACAAGCTTGTATGCTTTTATAAGGTTGCGAGTTGTGCTGGCGGTGATTTATGCCTCCGGCAGGGTCTCCTACGCCAGACAAGTCTTAAATGAAAGGTCAGAAAAAGTGTGTCCATGGGCAGGATAGGCTCGCTAGCATTCCGGCACCTGTCCTAGGAAACGAACAACTCTAACTCCAAACCCGGACAGATGGAGCTTGTTTAACTCTGTAAGGTCATCAATCTAAGAAAAGGATACTAGAACGAAACCTAAGTCCTGAGGACTTCAGTGCCACCGTCCTAGCTTGCTAGGCCCTGACGGATAAACCTTAAGAGTACAGGGTCGGGTTAATCTGCTATGAAAAGAATAGTACCGGATCAAAGCAAGACAAGTGCGGTGAAAGATGCGTTGTGATGAGAAAAATACTGATGAAACGAGTGTACAGTTGGACGGATGCGAAACATTCCAAAAAGAAGGGTAAGTATAGTATATCATGCTGAATAGCGAAATATTCTATTCTCTTGCTGCTATCGCGCGGGGTAGAGGGTCAAACAAAGTATATCCACGTGCAGAATGGGTTCGGTAGCTTCCTGACGATATCTTAGGAGAATAACTCTAACTCCAAACCCGGATAGATGGAGCTCGTTTAGTCT